ATTTATTTTTGCAAAGCTTTATTGTGTTTTAGATATTTCAGGTTCTCTGGATACCAATTCAGATGAGGCACATTACTATAAAGTACCCATTCAGTCATTGAGAAATACTTGTCTGCAGGCCTGAGACTTACAATATACCAAATCTGAATAAGTACAACTCACACATTACAGAATTGTTTTCTGTTCTCTGTGTGGTCACAAGCTAATGGGAATAAGCAGCATGAGTAGAGAGAAGGGAGGATTGTGAACAGCTGAACACACATTTAGGTAGAAGCAGAGCAATGATTGCTGTTCCACCTTTTTGTTTTGTGCAATGGGAACTTTTGAGGAATATGATGCAGGAAATTATGCCAATGAAAACTTCATTCTAGTATCAGTAACCTATCAGGGATTGCTGGAAACAGGAAAATCTGAGATAGGATTGAAGAAAGGTGGGAACCAGAAAGAGGGTGGAAAACCAAAGGTGGCCCTGGGAGAGTAAAGAAAAGATTAAATGTTGCTAACTAATAAAAGAATCTGGAGTTATATAAAAAGCAAAAAAGCAAGTATCCAGGAGTTTCTTACTTGACAGATGGCTGGAATCCTGCTCATGAATTACAGAAATTTCATGGGAAAGATGAGTCAACTTGTTGGGACAAGTCATCTGGATAGTTGTGGCAGCTTACATTTACTGCTAGAATGCTACTGATGTGCACTCAGGAACCATATAAGTGACTCCCTGGAAGAACTAAACAGTAGAAAGCAGCTCTGGCTAGAGCTGGGTGTGAAGATAGCTAAGTGAATCTGAAGCAAGGCACACACAGTAGTCCAGGAAGCAAGTATAGCTGAAACACAAGGCAACTGAGGCATAGCAGCACTTTAGTATGGGCAGGGATAGCAGCCTAAGAAAGTACCCCCAAAAACTTTAACCAAAACTGGTTTGGTAAGAATTTGAAAATCAGGACAGCTACAGAGACAAGTGGATCTAATTTAGAGGGGATCTGGGTTTCTGGGGTTAGACAATTGTCCTAGGCAACACAGTATACACAGGACACTCCTTTTCCCAGGAAGAAATAGGCTCCCTCTCTGTATGTACATTGATTTCTGTACACTGTACACCCAAGGGCATTCTTATTCACAGCAGCATCCTAGGGTGCCCCAAAAGTATGTTATCTGTACTTGAAAGGCCTGCCGAAATGAATAAGACACTTCAATCTGGAAAAAATCTGATTTCTTGAGGATGAGAAGTAGAATAGAGCCAGAAAAACAAAACCTTGGGATGGTCTTAAGAAGAAGAGAACACAGGACCAGAGACTAGGTAGAGCTAACTCTGGCCAGTTGCATTTAGGGAAGAAAAAGCATTGGGTTAACTTGGAGAGTACTACTACTACTGTGTGACCAGCAAACTGATCACTGATCTGAAGTCAGGGGGGGGTGGCAGTGGCAGAAGGACCTGTCCCAGGGGCATGAACTGGCTTTTGGGAGTCCATTACCTATGGTGGGATGCCTTGCTCAGCCTTGATACAGCAGGGATGGGCTTGGTCCTGCCTTACCCCCTCTGAGGAGTGAATGGGGTGTGGGGAAGGGGGGAGGCAGGGGTGAGAGAAGGGGAAGGAGGAGGAACTGGGGTTGGTATGTAAAATGAAAAATTATATGAAAATGAAAAAGCGAAAAAAGATCATTTTCTAGACTAACCTAGAATATTTTAGTGAGCTTTCAAGGAAGATGGTTATGTAAAAGCTCAATGTAAATTACAGCATGTGTTGAACCATATAGGGCTTTGTTGTAGTACAGGATGCTCTGGAGCAGTAAGAGTAACTGCTTTTCAAAAATGATGGAAGTTGAGGATGGGTTCCTGGTAGTGTTGTGTTCATGTTTTTGTTGGTCTGTGGCTTTCTCAGGTGATGACAACCCCTACCACATGGCCCTGTAAGACCTAGCCATGTTCAGAGCAATTCCCAACTGCTTTCTATCCAAGTAATGCCATCTCCAAAAAGTATGCTGTTTATTTGGCAGCCAATACTGAGGTATATTTAAAGGATGCCAAATCAGAAAATCCTCAGGACTCAATTACAAGTTTTGAACTGATGATAGTTTTGCTTGTTTTCTTAGCATAAAAATATAAATTTTGGAATATATAGGTTATATTTCTAAATATAACCTGGCTAGTCTGTGTAATATTGTACGTTTGTGTTTTCAGGACTGGCCATTTGGTATTGGATAACCAGCTATTGGTGTACTCCTCCCTGAGGAAGACTATTTATCCCACTTTCTGCATTCTTTAGTTACCTATAGTTCTTTGTGTATAGGGTTGAGGCCTCATGGACTTTAGCACCCCCATCGTGTTGTCTTATCTATAGTTGTCCTTGTTCAGTTCATGTTTTGACAGTCATGTTGGTAAGACTTTATGAGTGTAGCTTGTGACATTCCTAGGAGACACAGTCTCATGGCACACTCCCTGTTACTCTGGCTCTTGCAGTCTTTACACCCTCTCTTCCTCAATGTTCCTTAAACCTTACATTTGAAAGTAAGGTTTAGGGAAAGTAGATGTATCCATTAGGACGAGGCTCCATAGTCCTGCATGTTGATTGGTTGTGGATTTCTTTAATGATCTCCATCTGTTGCAGTTTGATTTTCTTAACTATACTTCTGGTTTGCACTTATTCCACAGGAAATGTGTTTCATTCGTACCAGACAAGCAGAAACATTTCAGATTGGACAGGCCAAGGTAAGGGCATAAGTTTTCCTGTGTTGTCTAGTATCCATTACTAAAGGAACCATTCTAAACCTTGCATAAGTTTTGGTTGCTTTTCCTTTACTAAATCTGTTGTGATCTTTGCCTGGTGGATCTGTACTTCTTTCAAAATGGAATTTCTTTTGTTGATGTTTTTTTGCTTTGAGACAGTATCTCATTATGTACCCCAAAGCTGGCCTCAAACTTGGAAACCTCCTGCCTTACCCTCCCATGTGCAGGAGACTTTGTTGATTCCTTTTATAAGAGAAGGGTTTGTTTTCTTTGCTGCTGGAAATTGAGTCTAGGTCCTTATGCATGTTAGGTAAATAGTCTATCTCTGGGTACAGTGCCAGACTTTTTTTGCATTTGTATTTATCAATTGTATATTTGTGTGTGGCAGGCGCACCACTGCATGCAGGTGTAGAGGTCAGAGGATAACCCTGAGGTATGGTTGGTTCTCCTCCAACTATGTGGGTCTAATGAATAAAACTCAAGTCATCAGACTTGGTGGCCAGCACCTTTATCAGCCAAGCTATCTAGCCTATACATTTGTCAGCCATTTCTTAAAGTTTTATTTTGAGTAAGTTCTCACCAAATCACCCATGTTGTCCTTAAGCTTGAAATCTTCCTGCCTCTGGTTTCTAAGCTACTGGGACTGCAGATGTGTATCACTGTACCTGGCTTTTAGGTGAATTAATTAATACATTTGTTAGTGTTAGGTCAGGAGCAATTTGTCTTTGAGATGTATCTTTCAACAGTAACCACATTTTGTTTTGTTGATTCTATACCAGGTTGTCTGCCACAGTGAAAATGACAAGGTCACAATTATTGGAGCAGGACTCACTCTGCAGGAAGCCCTACTGGCTGCTGATGAGCTCTCTAAAGAAGGTCAGTTGATTGTGTAAATATTGAAGTTACAATCTAGGAAGAGGCAGAATATCAGCTATGTGATATACCTGGACTGATATTTTCATTTTAACCTCTGATTATCCCTTATTCTGAGTCTGCTTCTATTTTAAGGAATATAAAACTATGTATTGGCCACTGTTCACCATTATTTACAATAAATTAATTATACAGTTAGATGACATTCTGATACTACAAAGTTACTTTTCTGGCTCATTAAACCAGAACCCAAATACTGAAAAGTAAGGAGTGAGTCAGGGTAAAGAAAAAGCATGCAAGTCATCAATTTATATTACCAAATTTTGTTCATTTATGTCAACGGGCCTGAAATTACCAACATCTTCTAACTGTATTCCATTTCCACAGCAAACAGATATTCCGTGAATTATAACCTTTTAGTAGATTTTCAACTTTTTACAAAGGAATGGTTCACTACAGGAACCTTTTACATGCCCATGTAAGTCTTTTTGTTTGGTTTTTAGAGACAGGGATTCTCTTCCTAGTCTAAATCAGAGATCCGTCTGCCTTCAGAGTGCTGGGATTAAAGGCATGCACAACCACACCCAGTGTAAGTCTTGTTATTAAATTATACTAAGACTATATAATTCCATTTTCTGAAGGGGGAAGTTTGTAACAACAAAATTTTGTAAATAAACTACTGTATGTGATAATACATAAATTTTGATGTGCTTGCTGTAAAACTATCCAATAAATTACAGAATCACCTGCTTATAATCTGAAAGGTTATGGTTTCAGGAAAATGTTCACAATGATGGAACATCATCAACACATTTTCATCTACAGTTTTTGAGTATTAAAAAAAAACAAGACAAAATGAAAAAGTTATGTGTCTTATGCAACACAGGAATACAAACAAAAAAAAACCCAGAATGGTCCTTCTGTGTCTCAGTTAAAAATAAGTTCTGGTTGACTAATGACTGTAAGATCTCCTCAGCCTTTAACAAAAGCTCTTATTCAAAGACAAGGAAATACAACATGGTATCAAATATTCTATTGTGAAAGCAACTACAGAAATCTTTTATTTGCCCAAAGGTATATATATATATATATATATATATATATATATGCAAACAATTATTGGGCCTCATCTGGACAAGAATACAATGACAATCTGCCTCATCTGAGTCCTTCCATTTTATGAGAAACATTAATTCTCCACTGCTGTCTGTGACACCAATTATTCATTAAGGATCAAGACCTCTGGCAAAACCCCTTGGTTTGTCAGCAACATCTCTCTTCTTCTTCGATTTGCTATCATCAGATTAACTGTCAGATAAAGATCTCCTTTTGTACCATCTTTTTCTTTAACAGCCTCTTGCGAATTAAGAAATGCTTCAATTAATTCTGGAAAATCTAAATTTTCTTCTGGTTCTCAAGTATTATCAGCATCTCTGAACCCCTTCCACTGGAGGAAATACTCCACCTTCCCATTCACTACACGCCGCTCCAGCACTTTTTGTACCACAAATTCTTCAGGCTCTGCCTCTTCAACTTTTTTACTCTTTCCATTCTGTTTCTTTCCCATTTTTTCTTTCTTTCCCATTTTTTTTGCAATGTAGTTTTATTGGAGGCCATTTTTTAAAAAATCAAAGGCTTTGAAGAGTTCCCCTCTCAGATGCCCCAGGTCTCAGATCCTGCAGAGTCTTCCAGTTGCATGCCTCAGCTCAGCCACACCCCCTGAGTCTGCTTCTTATACTAAACTAATGTTACTATTCTCCAGCTGTCTCTATCCATGTCATTGACTTATTTACCATTAAACTTCTGGACACTGTCACCATCATTTCTAATGCAAAAGCCACATCTGGCCGAATTATCACTGTGGAGGAACACTACCCAGAAGGTGTGTTTGATGCTTTGGGTATGGTCTTATAAGTCTGTTTAGGTAGCATTATTTTTTGGTAGAAAGTATTTTTGTTTTTGCTTGACTGGAGATACACCATGTTCTTTACATAGCCTATCAAGAGTTCAGTATACCTTTGTTATACTCTTTACAAGGGAATCCATGTAGGGGCCTCTCAGCCATCTATAGTGGTTTCTTGAACATGGAACATTGTCAGTATATACTTTGCGAGTCCCTATCATAAAGCCCAGTCAACTAGGGTGGGTTAGTAGCAGCACTGGGGTGGCTAATTGAGCAATAGACAGGGAACCATTCACAAACATTTCTACAGCTTCTTTTGAGTATTGAATTAATAGTTCACTCCCCTATTCCCTAAAAAAACTAGCTCCTGGCAGAGGGTGGTGGCTCATGCCTTTAATCCTAGCACTCGGGAGGCATAGGCAGTTGGATCTCTGAGTTTGAGGCTGCTCTGGTCTACATCCCCTAGAGCAAGTTCCAGGACTGCTAGAGCTACACAGAGAAACCCTGTCTTGATAAACAAACAAAGCCTAGCTCCTTGAGCCAGGCTTGGGGCACACAACTTTTAATATGGCACTGAGTCAGAGAGGCAGGTAGATCTCTGAGTTTGAGGCAATCTGGGCCTACATAGCATGTTCCAGACCAGCTAGAGTGTCTTAGAGTTTCTATTGCTGCAACAAAACACCATGAACAAAAAACGAGTTGGGGAAGAAAAAAGGTTTATTCAGCTTACACTTACACACTGCTGTTCATCATCAAAGGAAGTCAGGACAGGAACTCAAGCAGGGCAGGATCCTGGAGGCTGGAGCTGATTGATGCAGAGGTCACCAAGGGGTGCTGCTTACTGGTTTGCTTCCCGTGGCTTGCTCAGCCTGCTTTTTTATTTTATGTGCATTGGTGTGAGGGTGTCAGATCCCCTAGAACTGGAGTTACAGACAGTTGTGAGCTGCCATGTGGGTGCTGGGAATTGAATCCAGGTCTTCTGGAAGAGCAGCCACTGCTCCCATTCACTGAGCCATCTCTCTAGCCCCTCAGCTTGCTTTCTAAATGAATCCATGACCAGCAAGCAGCCCAGGGATGGCACCACTCACGATTGGCTGGGCCCTCTTCCATTTATCACAAATTGAGAAAATGCCTTACAGCTGGATCTCATGGAGGCATTTCCATAACTGGAGCTCCTTTCTCTCTAATGACTCTAGCTTGTGTCAAATTGACACACAAAACAGCCAGTATAACTGACCCCTTGTCAACTTGACAAACAAACACATCACTATTAAGCCATCACCCTTCCTTTATTATTAATCCCCAATATCTCACATTAAAAACGTAAATTACTTTAAAAGTCCCACAGATTTTACAGGTTTAAACACAATAAAACTTCAGTCCCTTAAAAATATCCAGTCTCTTTTAAAAATTCAGTCTCTCAGCTGTGGGCTCCAGTAAAACACTTTCTTACTTCAGGAGGGAAAAATCAGGACACAGTCACAATCAAATCAAAGCAAAATCAAATTTTCCAACCATCTAGTGTCTGGGATCCACTCATAATGTTCTGGACTCCTCCAAAAGTCTTGGGTCACTTCTCTGTGCCCTCTGCAGCACACACAGCTTGTCTTCTAGGCTCTGGCTGGCTTCACTCCGCTGCTGCTGTTCTTGGTCATCCCATGGTCTTGTCATCTCTAAATTGCTGGGGTCTTTTGCTGCAACTGAGCTGTACTTTTTACCAATAGCCTTTCATAGGCTCTCTTCATGGCGCTAATCGTCAATTTCTTTGCATGACCCCTCTGGGCCTTCAGCTGCCACTGAGGTTGCACCTTCACCAATGGCCTCTCCTGGCCTCTCACAGCGCCAAGCCTCAGTTGCTCCCCAGGACCCCTTCATGCCTTCAAAACCACCTGGGTGACTCTTACACATTACCAAGTCCTGCTGTCAGCACCATGGACAATTGCAGCCGCCTCTAGCACACAGCTTCTCTCTGCTCTCAGGAAACACTTCCCAGAAGATGCTTTTTTTTCTTTTTTTGTTTTTCAAGACAGAGTTTCTCTGTGGCTTTGGAGGCTGTCCTGGAACTATCTTTTGTAGACCAGGCTGGTCTCAAACTCACAGAGATACACCTGCCTCTACCTCCTGAGTGCTGGGATTAAAGGCGTGCACCACCAACGCCCAGCTGATGTGGTCTCTTCTTAATCACCACCGATTTCTTAGCTCCAGCCAAGCGCAAAGATTGTTCCAATAATGTAAAGGTTTCACTTCAGTAGTTCTGATATCTTGTTAATCACAGCTGATTATTCAGCCCCAGCTAACCAGAACCACAGAATTTTAAATCAAAATAACAAACAGCCCTGATAGTCATTATTAATCTTCCCTCTGAAATTTCACAAGCCAGGCCTCCATCTTCTGAACTGCTCTCAACAACCTTATCTTCCAAGCTCCCACAGAAAATCCTACTGAGATCTCAACACTCAATGGCTCTTCTAGCCCAGAGTCTCAAAGTCCTTCCACAATCCTCCCAAAAACATGGTCAGGTCTGCGCAGAAATATCCCACTACACTGGCACCAGTTTGTCTTAGTTAGGGTTTCTATTGCTGCAACAAAACACCATGACCAAAAAGCAAGTTGGGGAGGAAACGATTTGTTTAGGTTACATTCTTGTATTGCTGTTCATCACCAAAAGAAGTCAGGACAGGAACTCAAGCAGGCCAGGAACCTGGAGGCAAAAACTGAAGCTAGAGGCCTTAGAGGGGTGCTACTTACTGGCCTGCTTCCCATGGCTTGCTCAACCTGCTTTCTTATACAACTCTGAACTACCACCCAGGGGTGGCATTACCCACCATGGGCTGTGCCCTCCCACATTGATCACTAATTGAGAAAATGCCTTACAGTTGGATCTCATGGAGACATTTCTTCAACCAAAGCTCCTTTCTCTCTGATGACTCTAGCCAAGTGGATGCACAAAACCAGCCAATACATAGGGATACATAGACATGTCTCAAAAACAACTAGATCCTTGCAAACAAAAGAGCAAATGGCAAAAAGTAAGAGTATCTCAGGGAGTTAATGTTTGGGCCTAGAAAATAAGTAGGAAAGACAAAATTCTGTTTTTATGACACAAGACCCTAAGACCACATCTCATTGGGTATTTCTCTGGAAGAGCTCCGAGATCCAGCATGAAAGTGTGGAAACCTTTTGTAGAGATGGGAGAAATACCTACCCCATGAAGACGACAAAGACCATATCTGTCCAAGGGTACACAGAGACTGGGCACCCCACGATTCTATTGAGAGCTGGTCATGTTGGCATCTTCTGCCAGACATTTGTACCAAAATTCATGTGACTCCTGGCAGAAAAGTGGGCATTTGTCATAGTCTGCATCGTTTATGTTTATACACATATTCTAGGCACAAGTACTACCCTATGAAGAGGGAGAGGTAATAGCAGTGAAGGATGCTTGTACCAGCCAAAGGACAACTCTATCAAACTAGCAGT